GATGAGAAAATAGGCTGAGACTCCCTGGGGACACGAAGCCAGCAAGCGGTGAAGCCAGGTTTCGAGGCCAGGTGGGTCTGCCTGCCCAAGATCACACTGTGGTTCCTGGCAGATGACCACAAGTTGGGGAGGGAAGGCATTCAAGCCAGGACAGTGCTGCCGACACCCTCTAACCCCGGCCCAAGGTTTCTGGCCCGGCCAGACCATGAGAAACCCGAGCATGGGGGCTTTCTCTCTGGACCCAACAGCTCAGTGTCAGTAAGGGCCGGCCCGGGTCAGCCCCAGGGGACAAGCCCCCACGACACAGATGACCGCGTAGCTCCTGCCTGTCCATGCCCGACTGGGGACGCCTTCCCAGTCCTTACTCCCAAGCCCGCTCTGTACTTGCGTCTCCGAAACACCTTTATGTCTAAGATGGGACCCCGACTCCTCACCCCGTGACTCCTGCCCTCACTGTCTGCCAAGGGACCTCCGCACCGCTCTGGACAGTGAAGAACACACTTGCAGATCCTCGCGCTGAAGGAACTGATCTTCCGATGAGCCCGGCCCCGGTGCCCACAGCCCTGCTGCCCTCGTCCTTCCCTGGCCCCCAGTGCCCTGGGCCCTAAGACGCAGCTCCCAAAGACCAACACGGAACTGCCTCTGTGGGGTCTCTGTCCGCCACCGGCCCTGCCCAGCTCCAGGGCTCCCCCAGCGCCCCCCTGCCTTTGCACCTGCTGTCCCTCAGCCCTGAACGCTCTCCCCTTTCTCCCCCTCTGGGTCTCAGCTTGGGTGACACTTCCTCCAGAGGCCGCCTCTGAGGCCCAGGGCAGGGTCGGGAGCCCCTCTCTGTGCCCCTGGGGGATCATGAGACTATATGATAGCACCAACCCCACTGCATTACAACTGTGTGCCTACGAGTTCCACTTCCCTTTCCAGAAGTTCCTGGAAAGCCAGACCCATACCCCCAGTGTTCACAACATGGCTGCTGGGTGAGCAAGCACACACACAAGCCAACGCAGGACAAGGTGGCCCGGCTGGTGCCCTCCGGGTTTGTGTCCTGTCCGGCCCCACCCCAACCTTCTCTCACATCTACCTGCCTCATGAGCTCCGGGTTGTTGAGCATGTGGCTGATCTCAGGATTCCGCTCCATCAGCTGCTGCATCTGGGGGTTGGCCATGATCATGTGGCGCATCAGGTCGGGGTTAGACATCATGTCCTGGACCAGGGGATTCTCCATGATCTGGGACAGCATCTCGGGGTTGGACATCAGCTGCCTCTGCATCTGCTGCTGCAGCTCCATAAAGTTGGCAGAGCCCAGGCCCAGGCTGCCCAGGCCCAGGATGCCCCCAAAGCCAGCTGCGGGGAGGGGCCGGGGTCACAGTCGGCCACAAGCCCCTGCCCCCACCTGGCCGCAGCCACTGCGCTCAGGTCTCCATGAGGAGCCTTGCCTGCTTCTCGCACTTCCCCTTCCAATCCCTCCCCCGGCCCCAGCCCTGCCCCACTGCTGGCAGAGATGGGAGCCCAGTGGACCGAGACCTCTCTGGAGGCAGAGGCTGAGAGCCGGGCACAGCACAGAGAGGGTGACCAGTGGGGGCCTGCTCAATCAGCAGTAAATATTCCCCAGCTGGCTGCTGCCGGACACCCCTTGTCCCCAACTTCAACACCCTCACCCTGCATATTCTCCCCATCCCCAACCCCATTCCGCCCCTCCCTCTGAACACTCATCCATGCTCCCCTCCTTGGGGAGGCCCTAGTAGACTGGCTTCCTCCCCGGCTTCGCCCAAGCACCAGTGTCTGGAACGCCATGTCCAGGGGTCCCCATCCCCATCCGACCAGAAGCAGGGACCACACGTTTCTGCCTCCTCTTGGCTCTCCCCGCCTCCCTAGCCCCAGACAGGGCTGTGCCCTCCTCCCTGAGGGCTTACAGAGTATGGATGCAGTAGCACTGGGGGGTCCCTCCCCAGCCCCCGGGGAGGGACCCCCCCCACTGCTCCTCCGGCTGCCGCTGCCAGCCTCTGAAGTAGTACTGCCCGAGGTGGAGGGCTGGGCAGGGGTGGCAGGCGAAGCGGGCGTGGTGGAGGGTGCTGAGGCAGGGTCTGGAGTGGAGGGAGAAGAAGCAGTGGCGGCAGCTGGATCTGGAGCCCTGAGGACAGAGAAAGAAAGTCCTCGCTGAAGTGAACAGGAAAGGGAAGACACCGAGTTCCTTTCGGTGCGGCTCCTGCCCTAACGTAAGCCACCTCCGAAGCCACCCTCAGGCGGGGCTGGGGGGGAATCAGGGGGAGGGTGGAGCTAGTACCATCTGCCTTCAGGGCGTTCTGGGAGAGGCAGGTGAGGTTCCTTTCCCCTGCAGGGGAGACAGTAGGGCTGCCTGGCAATCCCTCTGAGAGCCACGTTCCTGGGTGTGGCGTGGCCCTCCGGGGACAGGTGAAGGTGAGGAAGCGAGGACCAGAGGGGAAGGCCGGCCCGGCCAGCAGCTGGATCTGCTCCTCTCCTGGACTTACTTCTGAGGGGTCTTGATGACCAGATGGACAGTGAGCCCATCCTTGATCCCATGCTGGCTCAGTGTGTCCCCGTCCTTGAGGATCTTGCCGGCGAAGATCAGGACCAGCTGATCCTGCTGAGCCTTAAACCTCCTGGAGATCTCCTCTTTGAACTGTGGTCAAGAGGCAGAGGTCACTGCAGAGCCTCCCTGGGCTCCACCCACCAGGGACCCTACCTCTGGTCTGGGAAGCCCCTCTGCAGTCGAGACCCCATCCATCCAGGGGCACTGAGCAGCTCCCGCGTTAACCAAAGAGATGGACCAGTGACAGGCTCCTGTCTCGGCTCAACCCCAGCGTCTCCCACCCTAGAAGGCCTAGCCAGTTCTCCAGACTCCCTCCTCGGTCCCTCCCTCCAGCTCCCCAGGATGAGGGTGCTGCCTGGGGCTCTCTCTGTCCCAGGTCCTTCAGCAGCCTTGGACCCAGGCCTGTCTCTCTTCAGCCTTCGGTTCTAGACTCCAGGTTTCTCTGCCTTCCAGCCTTCGCGTAACAATGACAACACACAGACCCCAGATGGTCTCTAACAGCAGCAACTATTCAGGAGTTAAGAGTCTCAGTCCCATGAGATAGATATGAATTATCACCTCCACTTTCAGGATGAGAAAACCGAGGATCAGAGCAGTAACGTGACTTGCCCTGGGCGGACTGGAATTCAGGTCTTGACACCAAAGCCCCAGTTCTTGACCCAACACGCGGCCTCTCAGCTAAAGCTGATTTCAGATTGAGCTCTGCAGGGCAGAGCATGTAAATTCTGGAATGCAGTCATTTTGTAAGGGGGGAGGGGAGCAGTGAATGCACTAAAGACTGGCTTGGGGAGAGTCAGACTCCCCAAATCCATCAGCTCTCCCCGCAAACCCAAACAAACCAAAACAGGACACTCTCAGTAAAGAGTGCACTTGCTAAGCCAAGGCAGCTTCCAGATCTCTTCCTTCCAACCAGATGGCCTATCTTAAGCCCCGCCTATGAGAAATTCTGGAGCTGCCACAGGGGGTGGCGAACACAGGCAGTGTTCCCTCATTCACTCAGCCGACACACTTTTATTGAGCACCTACTGCACACCGTAAGTCCCGGAGGGGCCGAGGGCCCACTGTAACCACCTCGATTTGAACAGGTAGGACGGATAAGGGCCGAGGGAAACGCTCGTCCAGCGCCCCGCGCCCCAGCACTCGGGGGAGCCCCCCGCCCGCTCCCCGGCGCAGCACTGAGCCCGGAGGCCGCCCGGCCGCGGCCCCTCGAATCCCGGACCAGTCCTCAGGGCGCACGCTGCCCTCAGACCCCGAGTCCTGCCCCTCCCCGGTGCAAGGTGCCCCCTCCCAGCTCTCCGCCACGCCCCCAACCCAGGCCACAAGGCGAGCCCCGGCCTCGAGTCCGCCGCACGCGCCGCGCCGGCCGGAGCCCCCTCGTAGGACGCCCCCAATCCCGCTCCCCCCCTCCCGCCCCTCCGAGAGCCCGCAAGGCCCCCACCCTCCCCGCCCGCCGCCCCACCGCCTCGGAGCCACCCCTCTCTCCGCAGACCCCTCCTCCGCCACCCTCGCCGCCCGTACTACCTCCTTGACTGAGGCTCGATCGCAGATCACAATTTCCTCCTTGTCCTTGGGGGTCTTGACGGTGACCCGAATGGGGGGCCTGGCCTCGGCCCCGCTCGGCTCCGCCATGCCGCCGCCGCCACCCGGCCGCCCGCCAGCCCGTCCCGGCCCCTCCTCCTCCTCCCCGCCCGGCCGCCCGCCCGGCCGGCTCTGCTCCGGCCTCCGCCCCTCCGCCCTCCCCTGCCCTGCCCTCCCCTCCCCTCCCCTCCCCTCCCCTCCCCTCTCCGCGGCCGCACCGCCCTCCGGACAAACTGCGCCCACAGCGCCCCGGGCGGCCTGGGGGGAGCACTGCAGCCGGGGCGGCCCGGGCCTCGCGGGGCGGGGCGGCCTCCCCGAGACAGCCCGCCGCCGGTCCCGGCCCGCCGCCTCCGCTGTGACTCCGGCTCCGGGACAGAACGCCGTGTCCCTGTCGCCGCCGCGTTGTCCCGGCTCCCGGGCCTCTCCCGAGTCGGAGGCGGACTGACCCCCGCGTCTGGACGTCCACCCAAGTTCTCATCTCGAGGACTGCCTATGCCCCCGGAGGTCGTGGCCTGCCCGGCGTCTACTGAGTACGGTTCCAGAGGCCTTTCCGAGCCTTGGTCTCATCTCACAGGGTCGTGCATAACGTAGGGAACTGCCCAGAAAAGTAACCAAACGTGTGCCTGACAAACACTGGGATTTCTTTTTTCAGTTTCTGGTCGTGGGTTGTCAAGCGGGCATGCTGACTCTTCTCTCCGCGGGGTGGCGGGGAGGGGAGTGGGTTGTTAAACGCCCTTCCAGTCCTGCCCCAGTCCTCTCGCTCCCGCTCTCTACCCCCCAACAACCGCGTGGTTCCCCGGGAAAGGCGAACTACAGTTCCCAGGGTGCGCCGCGAGGCCACACGGAACCACAACTCCCGGCGCCCCCCGCGGCGGGGCGGTGTTGCGTCGCCACCCCAGAGCCGGGCCGGGACCTCCGGGTCGCGGGGAGTTCCGGAGCGGCGGGGAGCTCGGGGAGGTGCCCGCGGAGGCCCGCGGGAGGCAGCTCGGGGTTGGCGCGGAAGCCCGGGCCTGGGAGCCGCAGGCATGCTGCGTCCCAAGGCTTTGACCCAGGTGCTAAGCCAGGCTAACACCGGAGGTGTCCAGAGCACGCTGTGAGTGCGGCCGGAGGAGGCGAGCCCGTGGCGCGCTGGGGAAGGGTCTCGGGGGGGGGGGGGGGCGGAGGGCAGAGGTGCGGCGGCCGGCGGGAAGGGCCGCGCTCTGCCCAGACCCCTGCTTCCTGGAAGCGCCCCGGCGGGAGGTGGGGCGAGAGCGCAGGCGTTTTCTCGCCGCCCCGAGCACGTCCCTGCCCCTTCCCGCCGCTCGCCAGGCTGCTGAATAACGAGGGCTCTCTGCTGGCCTACTCCGGTTACGGGGACACGGACGCCCGGGTCACCGCGGCTATCGCCAGCAACATCTGGGCCGCCTACGACCGCAACGGGAACCAAGCGTTTAACGAAGACAATCTCAAATTCATCCTCATGGACTGCATGGTATGGAGAGGGGAGCCACTCCCTCTGTCCCCCAAGGGGGTCCCCATGGGGCTACCTGGACCCCACCCTGGATGGTTGGAGGGGCAGGGACAGGCTCTCCGCGGGCTACCAAGAGTTGGTCTGCTGCAGCACCGCGGTAGGCAGGACCCTGTGCATCAAGTAGTGGTGAGGAGGGGGCCCGGGACCCAGTGTCTGCCTGGGCTTCTGGCCTCAGCTGGCCACGCCACTTGTCATTCGTGGAGCCCTGGGTAAGTCACTTGAGCTCTCTGAACTTCCTGACCGCATCTCCAACGTGGGAACAGTAATACCGCCCAACAGGAGTGCATGACACAGGCTTGTCGTGAAGATGACACGAGAGGATGTAAACTGTACAGTGTTGTCACCCCGAGTCACAGGCTCACAGAAGCACAGCAGAGTCTCCAGACCCTCGGCCCATCCCTTCAGTTTACAGAAGAGGGAGCTGCAGCCCAGAAAGGGGAAGTAGCCATTAGACTGTGAATTTCCGGGAAACAGAAAGGGTCTCACTCACCTTCGTATTTGTTCGGCCAACACATGTTTAGGTCCGTGCAGTGTTCTCAAGGATTAGGGAAAAAGCAAACAGGACCAAAACTGCCTTCCTAACTTCTCACAGAAGCTTATGGTTTTATGTGTGCTGTAAAATACGTATGTAAGTCAAAACACTAGGCTGTGAGATATTGAAAATGCTATGTGAAATGGAAGTGAGGGGGTGAGGCACATATTAGGGACAGTCTCACTGAAAAGGTGACATTTCATTAAAGATCTGAGGGAAGTTGGCCAGCCATATGGCCGTCTAGGGGAAGAACATGTCTGACAGAACAGCAAGTGCAAAGGCCCTGAGGTTGATGTAGTTGGAGCAGCATGGGAATAGGGGAGGTGAGTAGGACGTGAGGCCAGAGAAGGAGGGAGTGCAGCACCTGGCTCCCAGCACACAGCAAATGCCCAGTGAAAGTTCGCTGAACCAAACTGAAAAGGCTCAAGAGTGAACTCTTCCCAAAGGATTTCCACTGTAACAGGGCTGCCTACCTCATCCTCACCCCATGCCCAACCAAGGATGCCATTTCGGTTCAGTTGATGACTCCTGCTTGGTGCCTAACCTAGAGTTGGTGCTGTAGGGCAGCAGCTTTCCAACGTCTTGTCCACACCCCAGCCAAAGAAATAGCTCTTAAGTCAGAGCCCACACCCCACCAACTAAAACAAACATGCAGTGCACTCCGTTTCTCTTCTTTTTCATACTGACCCACCTCCTTAATTGATGGAACCCTAGAGTCAGACCTGCAATTTGAAAAACTTTACCATGGGAAAAGAGAATCATACATTAGGTTAATTGCTCCCACACTCCTTAGAGGGTCTTTGGGGTGAACCCATAATAATGATATCAACCATTTGGACGGCCCTTTGCAATTTCAAAACTCCCTCCTGTGTACTAGCATCCTCACCAACTGGGCTGAGGTAGGGGTCACAGAGAAACCAAGTTTCTGCGAGGTTGAGTTTCCCGGGGGGAGGTTGGTTAGTAGGGGGCTGTGCTGACCCTGGAGTCTGAGCTCAGGACCCCACGTCCGGGGCTATGGCCACAGCCCCTCATCTGAAGCCCCCTGCCATGCATGCCCAGGGCATGGAAGGAAGAAGATGATAGTCTCCCTGAAGAGGAGCCCTTGGGGAAAGAGAGGGCCAAGGGTGCCAGGCGGAACATTACATCCCACGATATCACCCCCACCAGGAGGGCCGTGTTGCCATCACCCGGGTGGCCAACCTTCTGCTGTGTATGTATGCCAAGGAGACGGTGGGCTTCGGAATGCTCAAGGCCAAGGTGTGTATGTACCCGTTCCTCTACGACTGTGGGCCCAGCCTTTGTGCTCCTCACTGTCCACTCCCACCCCACCACCTTCTTTGGAGTCTGCAGAGAGCTGACTCCCAGGAGTGGGTGGGGGCTGGGTGCTTAGCAGCGGGCGCCGGCCTGGATTGGGGATCCCTCTAGTGGCAGATCCTGTGCGGGCCTGATTTCTCCTCCCCTCTTGCAGGCCCAGGCCTTGGTGCAGTACCTGGAGGAACCCCTTACCCAAGTAGCCGCCTCATAATGAGCCTTGGCTGAAGCTGGGGTCAAAAAAGATAAATGACCATTTGGAGGGGCAGGGCCCCCTGGGGAAGCCTTTCCGGGTGGTGGGCGGAGGGTGAGACTTTGTTCTTTCCAAGAATAAACTTGAACTCCTATCTTGCGTGATGACTGATTTCTTGAACGGGAGGAGCCGAAGGAGGTGGAACAGAGGATTGCTCAGGAGAGACTCCTGAGGGCCCACCTCTCCCCTTGCCCTCTGACAGCTGGGGCGCCTCAGCGACATGACCATCTCGGCCCTGCCCCTCTGAGCAGAAGTTCAGCCCCCTGATAGGCACACGTCTGGGAGCGACCTCAGAAGCAGCAGGCTGCTGGGGGCCTGTTGGGGGTCCTATTGGACAGTGAGAATATAGGGCCCTGCAAGGCCAGTGTCGTTCAGTCCCAACTTTGGGGGGATGCCTTTTCTGCCCTTGGGGTTGGAAGAGTGTGCACTAGCCACCTACCAGGGCCACCCCACGCTCACACCCTCCAGATCTTGAAGCCCTTTGCAGGCGGTAGGGCTTTACCATGAGACCTCCGATCCTGGGGAGGGGGTGCCAGGGGGCCTCTCAGAGGCATCTCCAGATCCTGCTCCGCACTCAGACTCCTGCCCCACCCGTCTCTCTGCTTACCCTGGGTCCTTAGAGCAGGTGTGGACAGGGAGCTATCAGCCCCTAGCCCAGTGCCAGAGGAAGGGACCGTCCCAGGGGAGAAGGAGGTGGCGAGTTTCAGCTCCACCCAGGGTGAGGAACACCGCCCTTCCCAGGCTCTGGGCTGTCGGGAGGGGCAGACACAACACCGCTCCCAGAATTCTGCACTGCAGCAAGGTGATTGGCACCCGTCAGCGCCAACCCCTCTCCCCAGCAGCCTTTCCCCTGGTGCCCCCAATCACCCCCCACCAGAGGCTCTGAAGGAAAACCAGGAGGCCAAGCAGGTTTCTGCTCCCTGAGAGGCTATTTCTCACTCACTGGTGGCTGCCCAGGTAGGTTCCCGGTCCCAGGAGCCCTAGCCCCGTGCACTCAGTCCTCAGCTGGCTCTCTGAAGGTCCTGTGCCTGTCCCAGCTACCCCCCCCCCCCCCGGTCCCCCCCCCCCCCCCCCCCCCCCGTCTCCCCCCCCCCACCAGCCTGCCCGCCCGCTGCGGGAGCACCGGCTGAGAGCAGACACTCAACCTGCCTAACCTGTCTGACGTCATCCTCTCTCCACCCACCTGGGCCCCAGGTCTCCACCACCTGTCCTTCCTGTTCTCAGCTTCCCTCCTCTCGGCTTCCTTGCAGCACCCCCACCTGCCGGAGCTGAGCCTCCCGGGCCCTGCCCAGCCTCAAGTGGGCCCTCAAGCCCTCTGCCTGCGGAAGGTTCTTTACCCCCAATGAGAGGAGCAGCGGATCCAGGTCTCTGGAGAGCTGAGAGTGGAGGGTACTGAGCCAAGGCATAGACCTGTCACCTCCGCCCCTGAAGCCACTTGTACCCTCCATGCAGAGCCAGGATGGGGAACAGAGCCGAGGAAGATTATAACTTTGTCTTCAAGGGTGAGTTGGGGTCCATAAAGAGAGAGACCGTCAGAGCCAGAGAGCACCCCTCCTGTCTTTTTACCTGTTACCAGGACTCTCCCCAGGCCCATCATTCCTTTGGAGAAGAAAGCAAGCTGCAGGGAGTGGGGGAGGGTCTGGTTACTGGGGCAAAAGTTCTGGAGCTGCCGGAGTGCTCTACTCGTGCAGATAATGATGTTGATCACTCCCCGGTGGGGCCCAAGTTAGGCCCCTCTGCTCCATTTGCAAAGGAAGCCCACATCCCTAGGAATTGTCAAGCGCGCAGCACAAGAGATGGAGGTCAGACTTCAGAGAGGACTTCCCTCCTGAGAAGAGAGGGAATAACCTGGAGAGAAAAAAGCCCTGTTTCTGGGTGGATGTGCAGGAAAGAAGAGAAAGGAGAGCTCTGTCCATTTCGGGGTGAAGACAGGGAAGATGTAATAGATCAAGAGCAGGGTCTTATAGAACCTGGAAGACCCTGGGGGCGCCTGGGTGGTTCAGATGGTTAAGCGTCTGCCTTCAACTCAGGTCATGATCCCAGGGTCCTGGGATCGAGTCCCACATCAGGCTCCCTGCTCAGTGCAGAGCCTGCTTCTCCCTCTCCCTCTGCCATTCCCTCTGCTTGTGCTTTTCTGTCTATCTCTCTGTCAAATAAATAAATAAAATCTTAAAAAAAAAAAAAAAAGAACCTGGACGACTCTGAGGGCTGGGGCCTTGTCTGATGTCCCTTGGCAGCCCCTTTGGGCCCACATACCAGGCACAGGGTCAGCTTGGCTGATCCTGGAAGTATGCATGCATCTTTCCTGCTCCTCGCCCTCAGCCCCTGCATGGGACCCCTGTAGACCCCAGCCCCGGTGCACCCCCACCTCCACATCTCCTTCAGGGCAGGGTGGACTGCAGAGCCGTGATTCCCGGTGCAACCACCCCACCCCACTGCTTCTCCCCGCCTAAGCCCCACCCTCACTGGAGCTGGGACTCAGGCCACTCCGGTTGGGGAACCAGTACTCCGGGCCTCTGTCCAGGAAGGGGAGGCTGGGGCGGCACTGTTATTAGTAGCTGCCCTTTCCTGAGCCCTTCTTTGTGCCAGCCCCGAGCTCGTTAGTCTCCATAACGACCCCAAAACGCGTCTCTCCTTTTGCAAGCGTAGTGGTCAGGAGCCAGATCTCAGCTCTGTCGATTACGATTACAGTTCGTGCAGGCTGGGGTTTCCAGAAGCAGACACTGAGAAGTTTGGGATATAAGGTGTCTATTCTGGCGGAAGGAAGGGAGAGGAGACACAGGGAGAAGCCAAACTGCAGCACAGGATCACAGAGCCTTGGCCAAGGGCGGTGGGGGCTGTGCTGCCCTCACCTTGCTTGGGCACCGGATGCAGGCAGCCCTGGAGAGGCAGGGCGAGCAGAGGGAGCTGGGGGCTGGGGGCTCGTCCTTCTTTGAAGGCAGATCGGGGTGGCACACCTCTGTGTTTGCGAAGCCAGCCATGCTGTCTGGTACCAGCCGCTTCTCCACCAAGTGTCTGTTTTTCTCGCCTCTAAAAATGGGATGATGGTGATCGTGGTACTTGCCTCGTGGTGCTGTGGTGGGGGTTAGTCAATACGTGAAAGGCTTTCAGGATGGTGCCTGGCACATAGTAGGTGCTCAACCACTGTTGACACCTAGTGTCTCCGTTTTACAGACGAGGATGAGTAGCTGACAAACGGTCACAAAGTCAGTACTCAAACCCAAGTCTCTGGGGCTCCAAAGCCCTTGCCCTGAGCACCTTCTGGGCGTGAAGGCAGGGCGAGGGGCCCACCCACTGGCAGGGGTGAGCTGGGATGAGGGTCTCAGCAGGGGGGAGGCAGGAATACACACACACCCATGCCCACACTGCTCCCAGCTCCTTCCTTCCCTGCACACCTTCCAGGGGGCTTTATAGATGTTATAAAAAGAAAACTGAAAACCTAGAAAAGCTGAGCTGCTTGTTCAAGGTCACTAGCCGAGTGAGAGGCCAAGGAGGGACCAGTGACCAGAATATGTGGCTCCCAGGGCGCCAGCCTAGGGGTCCTCCTATAATCCTGGGTGTTCGCTCAGGGTTGCGCAATTTGTGGGTCGTCCTTGCATCAGCCAGCCCCCTTCTCCCTACTCCAGCCCCCAGCTCACCCGTGGTAGGTAAAGCTGGGCCCCGGACGCTGCGCACCAGCCCAGAGGCTCTTCACTGCCCCCCGCCCCGCCCCGTAGATCCCAGTCCTGGAAACCTGGCCATGAAAGAACTGACCTGCCAACAACAACTATCAGCCTGGGTGATATCTCATTTACTTCTTGCAACAATCCAAAAAATAGTATTGTTATTCCCATGGTTCATGTGAAAACGCATGTCAGGGTAGGCCTGTCCCACACTCAGCCCGGTGTTCTTAACTGTCCTTCCTTGGGGACAGCTGGATCCTAACTTCTTACCCCCCTGAACTTTCCCCCCTCCCCAGATGCGTCACTTGCCAAATGTTCTCCCTGCATTTGTGTTCACGTGGCGGCTTCCTGCCCGCATGCATGCATGCATGCATGCACACATGCACATATGCACGCATGCACATGCACAGACACATGCACACATGCACACGCACGCACACACATGCACACACACGCACGCACATGCACAGACATGCACGCACATATGCACACACATGCACACACGCACGCACACAATGCACGCATACATGCATGCACAGACACACATGCACACCACATGCACACAAACAATACACACACGCACACATGCACGCATGCACACACGCATGCACGCGCACACACATGCACGCACAAGCACACACATGCACGGATGCATGCACACACATACACACACATGCACACACACACATGCACACACACTGAGCCTCCTCGTCCTCACGGCTCATACACAGACAGGCACATGGCCTGGTCCAGAAACATGAGCCCTCCCCAGACCTACACCCCGTCCACATCCACACACCCTGCCAACCTCGTAGCCCTCAACACTGATGCCCACAAACAGCCCGCGGATGGCACCCCATCACAAGTGTAGGCTGACCAGACCAAGAAAGCCGCAGTTGAGCCTTGAAAAAAAAAAAAAAAAAAAAAGCATTCTGGAAGCCCCTCCCAGGAGGCTAGGCTCCCCCCTCATTTTCCGGGGCCCCCCCCCCCCCCCCGGGGGATGCCCCCCCCCCCCCCCGAGCTCAGCCCTGTTTCTCCTCTCCTGCAGTGGTGCTGATCGGCGAGTCAGGCGTGGGGAAAACCAATCTGCTGTCCCGGTTCACGCGGAACGAGTTCAGCCATGACAGCCGCACCACCATCGGGGTTGAGTTCTCCACCCGCACAGTCATGCTGGGCACGGCCGCTGTCAAGGCTCAGATCTGGGACACAGCTGGCCTGGAGCGGTACCGAGCCATCACCTCTGCGTGAGCCTGGGGTCGGGGGGCACTGGGGAAGTCGGGGAGTGCCTCCGGAGGAGAGGCCGCGGGGCCATGTGCTCCCTGGGTGGAGCCCAGGACTCCGTGGCCCTGGTGAGCCCCAGGGGCTGTGAGCCCCACGGCCTGAGGCCAGTTACAGTGGTACCAACTGCTAGGGCAACAAGCAGCAGCTGTGGGACCACTTCCCGAGCCTTTGCTATGTGTCCAGGGAGGTATGAGGCACTTTCCATTGAGCATTTGGTGTAATCCTCCAAGTACCATAGGACTAAGATGTTATAAGTAATTCCTGCTTAATACAAGCACCCGAGGCATTGTATAATACAAGCAGGTGGTGTCAGGGGGACCCAGGATGGGGGAGGCTGTGGGATCGAGAGTGGCCCCACTTCTGCTTTGCACTTGGCATCCTTTGCCATTTCACGACACACCTGAAGGGCTGGCCCCCGAGCTACATCTTACTCAGAGGAGGCCGAGGCCACGCCAAACCCTGGCAGCAGCGGGCCAAATGTGAGGAAGGTGGTCTGTGCGTGTGATGGGGGACGGCAGCTGCCGAGGGGCAGCAAGCAGGAGTTCAGGGCTCAGTCACACACACTCTCAGCACTCTTGGACTAGTCACCAGAGCTCTTACGAGCCTCGGCTGACACATCGATAAAACGGGAAGAATCACACAGCACAGTGTGAAGAAGCCCCACCTACTGCCAGTAGGTGGGCCTCCCCCCCC